GGGACCCATGAGAGACTCTGGACTTGGCAGCAGCATGAGGAGGCGGTATATAGGGGCCCATGGCAGATTAGGGGCCTGGCAGCAGCTATGGGAGGCCCCCGTAATCTGCCAGCACCCTATGTCAAAAAATTCAACACACACACCAGCAGTGTGAGGAGACCTGAAAGTGGCACATGGCAGAGTGTGGCGATGGAGACAGCAGCAATGGGAGGCCGTACAGGGACCCATGAGAGACTCTGGACCTGGCAGCAGCATGAGGAGGCGGTATATAGGGGCCCATGGCAGATTAGGGGCCTGGCAGCAGCTATAGGAGGCCCGTAATCTGCCAGCACCCTATGTCAAAAAATTCAACACACCAGCAGTGTGTGAGGAGACCTGAAAGTGGCACATGGCAGAGTGTGGCGATGGAGACAGCAGCAATGGGAGGCCGTACAGGGACCCATGAGAGACTCTGGACCTGGCAGCAGCATGAGGAGGCGGTATATAGGGGCCCATGGCAGATTAGGGGCCTGGCAGCAGCTATAGGGAGGCCCGTAATCTGCCAGCACCCTATGTCAAAAAATTCAACACACCAGCAGTGTGAGGAGACCTGAAAGTGAGGAGACCTGAAAGTGGCACATGGCAGAGTGTGGCGATGGAGACAGCAGCAATGGGAGGCCGTACAGGGACCCATGAGAGACTCTGGACCTGGCAGCAGCATGAGGAGGCGGTATATAGGGGCCCATGGCAGATTAGGGGCCTGGCAGCAGCTATAGGAGGCCCGTAATCTGCCAGCACCCTATGTCAAAAAATTCAACACACCAGCAGTGTGTGAGGAGACCTGAAAGTGGCACATGGCAGAGTGTGGCGATGGAGACAGCAGCAATGGGAGGCCGTACAGGGACCCATGAGAGACTCTGGACTTGGCAGCAGCATGAGGAGGCGGTATATAGGGGCCCATGGCAGATTAGGGGCCTGGCAGCAGCTATGAGGCCCGTAATCTGCCAGCACCCTATGTCAAAAAATTCAACACACCAGCAGTGTGTGAGGAGACCTGAAAGTGGCACATGGCAGAGTGTGGCGATGGAGACAGCAGCAATGGGAGGCCGTACAGGGACCCATGAGAGAGACTCTGGACCTGGCAGCAGCATGAGGAGGCGGTATAGGGGGCCCATGGCAGATTAGGGGCCTGGCAGCAGCTATGGGAGGCCCGTAATCTGCCAGCACCCTATGTCAAAAAATTCAACACACCAGCAGTGTGTGAGGAGACCTGAAAGTGGCACATGGCAGAGTGTGGCGATGGAGACAGCAGCAATGGGAGGCCGTAGGGACCCATGAGAGACTCTGGACTTGGCAGCAGCATGAGGGAGGCGGTATATAGGGGCCCATGGCAGATTAGGGGCCTGGCAGCAGCTATAGGAGGCCCGTAATCTGCCAGCACCCTATGTCAAAAAATTCAACACACACAGCAGTGTGAGGAGACCTGAAAGTGGCACATGGCAGAGTGTGGCGATGGAGACAGCAGCAATGGGAGGCCGTACAGGGACCCATGAGAGACTCTGGACTGGCAGCAGCAGCAGCATGAGGAGGCGGTATATAGGGGCCCATGGCAGATTAGGGGCCTGGCAGCAGCTATGGGAGGCCCGTAATCTGCCAGCACCCTATGACAAAAAATGGAACACACCAGCAGTGTGTGAGGAGACCTGAAAGTGGCACATGTTTGAGGCATGATTCATGGCGGATTTAGTCAGTTGTGTCAGGAACTGGTGGTTTGAAATCCAGACTAATCCACGCCTGATTCATTTTCACAAACGTGAGTCTCTCCACACTTTGGGTGGACAGTCGTGTCCTCCGCGGAGTTACAATACCTCCTGCCGCACTAAACACGCGCTCCGATGCCACGCTACTGGCCGGGCATGACAGCCTTTCAAGGGCAAATTCAGCTAGTTGGGGCCAAAGGTCAAGTTTCGTTGCCCAGTAGTCAAGGGGATTGTCTACCTCGGTTGGCAGGGTGCTGTCCAAGTAGGCCCAAGCCTGTTGTTTGAGGTCCTGCTCCAGGTCCACCTGATGATGCTGCTGCTGCTGCTGCTGCGGCTGGTTAGTAGTTTCCTCACTGCGCTGGTGAAGAAAGCTACTCATCATCGACTGCAGACTGACTGAGGCAGCCGCTGCTGGTGGAGCTGCCACTGCTCCTACCACCCCACCCCTCCCCTGCTGCCATGGCAGCGGAACGCGAGCGCACAGGGCCCACAGTGTCTGAGGATGGACGTTGGCGCACAAAGGCAGAGACCAACTGACTACATAGGTGGTTTTTATAGTACGTTATTTTGGCCTCCCTCTCAGCAGGTGTGAAAAAGGCCACCATTTTTGAACGGTAGCGAGGGTCCAACAAGGTGGACAGCCAAAAGTCATCCCTCTGTCTGATGGTTATTATTCGGCTGTCGCTACGCAAGCAACCGAGCATGCTATGGGCCATTTGTGCCAAGGAATGCGAGGGACTCCCTGCCTCCATCTCCACAGCATACTGCCACGGTGCGTCTGGGTCCTCTGTCTCCTCCTCCTCCTCCTCTACCAGATGCTCCTGCTCCTCCACTCTGTCCGCTGAGTGGAAAAAAACCACCCATTTCACTCAATAATTCCTGAGCACAAATGTCCTCCTCTACCTCCTCCTCTTCTTCCTGTCCTGCCCCCACAGGGGTCATGTGGCGTTGAGATCTGTGCGCCACGTCTACCGCACCCTGACCAGCCATTGTTAACAGCATTTGTTCAAGGACGTGCAACAGAGGAATGACGTCGTTCATCCCATAGTCCTGCCGACTCACGAATAGCGTGGCCTCCTCAAAGGGCCTGAGCAAGCGGCAGGTGTCACGCATGAGCTGCCAATGGCTGACATCGAAGTTACACAGGGGAGTACCTTTATCCGCTTGTAACATCAGGAAATCGGTGATGGCCTTTCGCTGCTCGTAAAGGCGGTCTAACATGTGTAGGGTTGAATTCCACCTTGTTGCAACGTCGCAGATCAGGCGATGATGTGGAATTCCGTTCTGCCGCTGCAGCTCAAGGAGGGTGTGCTTTGCGGTGTAGGAATGGCTGAAATGCATGCAAAGTTTACGTGACATTTTAAGGATGTCTTGCAGTGGGATGGTGGATTTTAGGAACCGCTTGACAACCAGATTGAACACGTGAGCCATGCATGGCGCATGGCACAACCTCCTTGACGCAGAGCAGACACCATGTTCTTTCCGTTGTCGGTCAACATGGTTCCGATTTTCAGTTTGCGCGGAGACAGCCATCTGTCGATTTCTCTGTTCATTACACTGAGAAGTTCCTCCCCTGTGTGACTACGTTCGCCAAGGCATACCAGGTGCAGAACAGCGTGACACCGTTGCGCCCTGCACATGTGATATGCCGGTCGGGTAATGGGACTTGGCACGGGGGGGGTGGCGGCTGAGGACACGGCGGAAGAAGAGGTGGTAGAGGCGGACATCTTTTGTGGACCAAGGACGTGCAAACGTGGAGGCAAAAGCGGCGTGACCTGTCCAAGTTGCTGGTGCGGCTGTGACGGCACCACGTTCACCCAGTGGGCCGTAAATGACATGTACTGTCCCTGACCGTAGTTACAGCTCCACACGTCGGCGCTGCCGTGCACTTTGGCAGAGACCGACATGCTCAAAGACTGGCCCACCATCTCTTCTACATGTGAATGCAGGGCTGGCACTGCCTTTTTGGCGAAGAAATGACGGCTTGGCACTCTCCACCGCGGCGCGGCACAAGCCATCATTTCTCGGAAAGGTGCTGAGTCCACCACTTGGAAAGGGAGGGACTGCAGCACCAGCAACTTGGACAGGAGGACGTTCAGCTTTTGCACCGTCGGGTGCGTGCTCGCAAACTGTTGTCTCTTGGAAACGGATTCCAAGAAAGACTGCTGACGGAATCCGTGAAGAGGAGTAGCAGGAGAAGGAGCATCTGAACGAGCGGAAGATGCCAACGAGCGACAACTCCCCTCAGCAGAGGTGTTGGAGCCTTGACTGGCTGATGGAGGGCGATTGACGTCGGGTGACGGAGGAGCAAGTAACGGAGCGGGTGATGGAGCGGGGGCTGGGGCGGAGAACCGCCGTATCTTTATCACGGTTTTCCCAGGCCACCAAATGGCGACGCTGCATATGCTGCCGCAACGCTGTAGTCCCAACATGGGCCCCCTGGCCACGCTTGACTTTCTGGCCACATAGTCGACATACGGCTACGTTTACTTCCTCGGGCGGCTTGACGAAAAATTGCCACACCGCCGAGTAGGAAACTTTGCCCCCGATACTCCTCACTGGCTGACTGCTGCTTCCTCCGTGCACACCGGCACCACTACTGGCCGTGGTGGTAGGCTGCAGGAGCTGGTGCTCTACTCCTCCGTGGCCGTTTGGCTCCACTGACACTGCTGCGACCCTGCTGCTGTCTCCTGGGCAACCCACCGACTGTTTCGCTCGCTGCCAAGCTGCCACCCTCTTCTCCTGATGATGCGGAAGAAATTGCCTGATGACGACGAGGCTGCCAAGTGCGATCAACCTCCTCATCATCAAGTAGGGTCTCCGCCTCACTACTAGCCCCCTCGGCTGCGTCTGGGTCAGGAGACAGACCTGTCTCTAGACCGGCTACCGAGCCACTCTCCTCCCACTACTTCTTCGCCTGGCTGCTGAAAAGGCGGATGTCTCCCCCCGTTCCTGACCGCCCTCTGTTAGCTCTTCCTCACTGTACAGTGGGGCTGAGCCCACAGCATGCGATACTTCGCTTGGTGAGGGAACACCAAAGGACAGGGGCAGGTAGAGGACACGTGATTTCAGTGGGCTTGGTCCCGGGCCATGCCAACTAACGGTTGTGTCTGACGTACCCACCGACCGTTGGCTGTAGGTGTCAGAGGTGACCTGGGAAGAGGAAGACGACCGAGCCAACCAATCGATGACGGCAGGGTTGTCGGTGGAGACACGACCGCTGGATGACACCGGGAGCACTGGCCTCTGGCTGCGAATAGTGCTGCCTCGACCCCTTCCTCTGCCACGTCTGCTCGCTCCTAAAACATTGCCTCCTCTGCCACTCCTCTGCATGTTGTCTGACATACTCTTAATTCAACGATTCTGTGTCCCTGAGTAACAATTCTGTGTCCCTGAGTAACAATTCTGTGTCTGTCCCTGAGTAACAATTCTGTGGCCCTAAGTAACGGTTCTGTGTCCCTCAGTAACAATTCTGTGTCCCTCAGTAACAATTCTGTGTCTGTCCCTGAGTAACAATTATGTGGCCCTAAGTAACGGTTCTGTGGCCCTCAGTAACAATTCTGTGTCCCTGATTAACGTTTGGCCCTAAGTAACGGTGTGGCCCTAAGTAACGGTTCTGTGGCCCTCAGTAACAATTCTGTGTCCCTGAGTAACAATTCTGTGGCCCTAAGTAACAATTCTGTGTGCCCTCAGTAAAAATTCTGTGGCCCTCAGTAACAATTCTGTGTCCCTGAGTAACAATTCTGTGGCCCTAAGTAACAATTCTGTGGCCCTCAGTAACAATTCTGTGTCCCTGAGTAACAATTCTGTGGCCCTAAGTAACGGTTCTGTGGCCCTCAGTAACAATTCTGTGTCCCTCAGTAACAATTCTGTGTCTGTCCTGAGTAACAATTCTGTGGCCCTAAGTAACGGTTCTGTGGCCCTCAGTAACAATTCTGTGTCCCTGAGTAACAATTCTGTGGCCCTAAGTAACGGTTCTGTGGCCCTCAGTAACAAGTAACAATTCTGTGTCCCTCAGTAACAATTCTGTGTCTGTAACATTCTGTGTAGTAACAATTCTGTGTCCCCTGAGTAACAATTCTGTGTGCCCTAAGTAACAATTTCTGTGTGCCCTCAGTAACAATTCTGTGTCCCTGAGTAACAATTCTGTGGCCCTAAGTAACGGTTCTGTGGCCCTAAGTAACAATTCTGTGGCCCTCAGTAACTGTTCTGTGTCCCTGAAACAATTGTGGCCCTGTGTTCTGTGGCCCTCAGTAACAATTCTGTGTGCCCTAAGTAACAATTCTGTGGCCCTAAGTAACAATTCTGTGGCCCTCAGTAACAATTCTGTGTCCCTGAGTAACAATTCTGTGGCCCTAAGTAACGGTTCTGTGGCCCTCAGTAACAATTCTGTGTCCCTCAGTAACAATTCTGTGGCCCTGAAGTAACAATTCTGTGGCCCTCTGTAACAATTCTGTGTCCCTCAGTAACAATTCTGTGTCCCCCTGAGTAACAATTCTGTGGCCCTAAGTAACGGTTCTGTGGCCCTCAGTAACAATTCTGTGTCCCTGATTAACGTTTCTGTGGCCCTAAGTAACGGTTCTGTGGCCCTCAGTAACAATTCTGTGTCCCTGAGTAACTGTGTCTGTGCTGAGTAACAATTCTGTGGCCCTAAGTAACGGTTCTGTGGCCCTCAGTAACAATTCTGTGTCCCTCAGTAACAATTCTGTGTCCCTGAGTAACAATTCTGTGGCCCTCAGTAACAATTCTGTAACAATTCTGTGGCCCTCAGTAACAATTCTGTGGCCCTAAGTAACGTTTCTGTGGCCCTAAGTAACGTTCTGTGGCCCTCAGTAACAATTCTGTGTCCCTCAGTAACAATTCTGTGTCCCTGAGTAACAATTCTGTGGCCCTAAGTAACAATTCTGTGGCCCTCAGTAACAATTCTGTGTCCCTGAGTAACAATTTCTGTGGCCCTAACAATTCTGTGTCCTGTAACCCTGAGTAACAATTCTGTGGCCCTAAGTAACGTTTCTGTGGCCCTAAGTAACAATTCTGTGGCCCTCAGTAACAATTCTGTGTCTGTCCCTGAGTAACAATTCTGTGGCCCTAAGTAACGTTTCTGTGGCCCTAAGTAACAATTCTGTGGCCCTCAGTAACAATTCTGTGTCTGTCCCTGAGTAACAATTCTGTGGCCCTAAGTAACGTTTCTGTGGCCCTAAGTAACAATTCTGTGGCACTCAGTAACAATTCTGTCTGTCCCTGAGTAACAATTCTGTGGCCCTAAGTAACGTTTCTGTGGCCCTAAGTAACAATTCTGTGGCCCTCAGTAACAATTCTGTGTCCCCCTGAGTAACGTTTCTGTGGCCCTAAGTAACAATTCTGTGGCCCTCAGTAACAATTCTGTGTCTGTCCCTGAGTAACAATTAACAATTCCCTAAGTAACGTTTCTGTGGCCCTAAGTAACAGTTCTGTGGCCCTCAGTAACAATTCTGTGTCCCTGAGTAACAATTCTGTGGCCCTAACTAACGTTTCTGTGGCCCTAAGTAACAATTCTCTGGCACTCAGTAACAATTCTGTCTGTCCCTGAGTAACAATTCTGTGGCCCTAATAACGTTTCTGTGGCCCTAAGTAACAGTTCTGTGGCCCTCAGTAACAATTCTGTGTCTGTCCCTGAGTAACAATTCTGTGGCCTAACTAACGTTTCTGTGGCCCCAAGTAACAATTCTCTGGCACTCAGTAACAATTCTGTCTGTCCCTGAGTAACAATTCTGTGGCCCTAACTAGCGTTTCTTTGGCCCAAGTAACGATTCTGTGGCCCTCATTAACAATTCTGTGTCCCTGAGTAATGCTTCTCTGTCCCTAAGTAACGTTTCTCTGTCCCCAAGTAACGTTTCTGTGGCCCTAACTCTGTCCCTAATACAGAGCGGTCTGCCTCTCTTGAATGACTGGAGACAAATGAAGAATTCTAAAATGGCCGCTATTTATAGCTCGACCATGATCACATGTCATTAAGGAATGTATTATGGGTCAGCGCGCCTTGTCTGCGCGCCTTCCCAGACATCCCCGCTCCGTCGCCGCACATGTCCGCCGCCATTTTAGGAAAAATTTCGATTCGCGCGTCCGAAGTAAAATTTCCAATATTCGACTCGAATTCCACTTCGCCTACTTCGATTCGCTCATCTCTAATTATAATCTTCACATTAAAGAGATGATTCAAAGGAAATCAGACAATTTTCAGGAGTTATTAAAAATAATAGTTCATTTTTGTCGCCAGTGCTGATCCCAACACACAGATATCTCTTTCTACCAGCTTAATTCATTTTCACTTTTATTGAAAGCTATTGTTGCATTTTACTGTTTGCAGACAATGTATGCAGAATTTACTATGAAATATCAGGTTTAAAATTACCCTTTATTTTTTAAGGTTTATTAACCACAGAGGTATTATTGTGATGTTACAAAGGTGATTAATTTTGTTCGTCTTTGGAGAATCAGTTGTCAGAAGGCATTTTCCCTTAGCATTTAGGAGGCTTTAAAAACAGACTGAATAAAACTACAAAACACATATTCCTTGCAAACAGATATTTGCATAAGCTTTTGTCATAAAATTCTAAAATGATTATTCATATGATTTGCAGAAAACAAATGCTCTCCCTTGTTTCTTCTTTATATAGATATATGGCTGATAAAAGGTAAAATAGATGGAGAGAGAAAGACAGAGAGAGAGAGTGATATGAAGAGAGAATTAATTTACAAGTTTGTCATTTTAATACCATTGCTTTATTTATACAACTTGTTATGATATATCTGCAGGTAAATCACATATTAAAATACAGTGACCAAATGTATTTAATATACTGCATTTTATTAACAGGACTATATTGGGGAAAAATAAAAACAATATATTCTTTTAGTTGATACCTTTGATTTGCACATTATGTATGAAGATGTAGAGAGTACAAAAAGTGTAAATGGACATTCTAATGACATTTAATATACAGTACATAAAGATACACTTTCACCATCCCATGCTGTATAAGATAAGCATCTCAAGTTAAAGTACTCACATAGACATATGGTATTGGTTTAAAAATGCTTTGCCACTGTTGTGCTTAAAACAGACCTATTCTTTTTAATACTCTCTGATACTACAGTATCTCTGGGTTAAGTTGCATGCAGCTGCCCCCTCACCCCTGCCAGGACCTTAGCTTACCTTGGGACTTGGGAAGGCAAGCAGTTGTATGTGTCTGAAGATCAAAAACTCTGTAGTGTCAGAGGCGATAGGGCTGGGGAAGCCTCCCGTAATTTTCAAACACTGTTTATTCAGATTTCCTCAGCATCTACCAGGACAATGGTTGATGTCAGGGCTTGGAGTTGCTCCATGCCCCTGGTGTTGGAAGTAAGAGGTGAGTAAAAAGAATATTTTCAGCAAAGTAGGAGCAAAAAACAAATACTGCCTAATATATGTGAGCACCTCAATGAAATAAGTTTATTTTAGGAGGCATGGATTGGTTGGAGTCTCTTTAAGTCTCTTTTATGTTGTAATAGTGAAATAAAAGCTAAAATTAAAAATGATAACCTATGTAATGACTTGCCTCAGGCCTCATTCACATGAGTGCATCAATGCAGAGGGCCGTATTTACCATCTAAGGAAGCACAGGTGGTCCTGTTAGGGAATTGGGTTGATATTTCAGAAAACCTGTCAGTTTACCTGGAATGGTCAAAGACAGATCCCTTTTCACCTATAATTATGGATGAAAATGGATCTGTCTTTGACCATTTATTATATATCATTATTATCATTAATATAATTTATTATAATAAAGTCATTAAAAAATATTTTGAAGTAAATTAGAAACTGAGTACTAGTAGATCACTCTATTGACACAATTTTACCTTATTTAAAATTTTGACAAAATAATCTATGCTATACATTTCTAATATAAAGAAAATTATGTTTCCTTTTTTTTTACCCTCCGTCCTCTCTCAATGTTTTAGTTAGCAGATACAACACGAACACATAATGGAGCAGAGGAACCAAACTATTGTGACCTTTTTTATCATTCAAGGGATTTCAGATCTTCCTGAACTACAGACTCCAATCTTCTTTCTTGTGCTGTTCATTTATCTATTCTCCCTTGGTGTTAACATGACTATTTTTCTGCTGGTCTGTCTGGATCATCAACTTCACACACCAATGTACTTCCTTTTGGCCAATCTGTCTATCTTGGATATGTTTTCCACCACTGTCACTCTTCATAACATTCTCATTGGCTTTATAATAGGAGACAACACAATTTCTTATGGTGCTTGCCTGTCTGAAATGTACATTTATGGATTTTTGATTTGTGATGAGTTGTTGATTCTTACGGCCATGAGCTATGATCGCTACGTGGCTATTTGTAACCCTTTGCAGTACCATTTGGTTATGAACCATAAAGTATGTACATTGTTGACAATTATCTGTTGGCTTTTGGGCATTTTAGAGGTCATTCCTTACATAGTATTATTATCAGATTTCACGTGTTATACGTCAAATGTAATAGATCACTTCTTTTGTGATCTTGTGCCACTCGTTAAACTTTCCTGCAGTGATACAACTGCTATAGAGATTGTGTGCCTTGCGGATGGATTTATTCTGACTAGCTTTACCCCACTTATGTTAACATTTATCTCTTACATTTTTATTATTTCTAGTATACTTAAGATGTCTTCCAATATTGACAGATGGAAAGCTTTTTACACATGTTCTTCGCATCTAACTGTAGTCATACTTCTTTATTCATCTCTTTTCTTCCAGTACTTAAGGCCTACATCATTGAACACCACAAAATCCAATAAGTTTTTCTCTTTATATAACACAGCTGCACTTCCTATCTTAAACCCACTGATCTACAGCTTTAAAAATAAAGATGTGAAGTCAGCAATGATACGAAGTGCACACTGGTTTAAAGTTTGTAGGTGACTATTGCAAT